TGCTTATGTCCTGATAAGATTTGTTAATCTAAGTTTTACATAAAATGTCATTGATTTGGAGCCTTTGGGTTAAAAAAAGTTTTTAAAAAAAATTCCCCATTTTTTTAAAACAAGAAAAAAAAAAAATAAATTTATTCCTCAATCCTAAAATTGGCAACCCCTCAATTCAAATAATGTTACATATTGGCGACAAAACATGATTTAGAAAAATACAAGTGAACAAACAGAAAAACACGAAATGGTAAAATGGGAATATGGTTGTGGGAGAAATAAAATTGCATTGTCAGACTAAATAACGAAGCACAGAAACAAACATCAGTGCAATGAAACACTTAATATAAGACGGATAAAACATATTTGCTGAAGCCAAAACTTCTGACGACGACGGATCGAATGCCACAAGTCCTCCTGAAAAAATAATATACAAATATTTCAGTTAAAATCAAATTCTTGTCTTTATTGTACTATTTATGTGAAACACTGTCATCAAATATCAAATTAAATATATGTCTTTGTTAATATACACTTTACACAATAATTTTTCAGGAAATGTGTGAATTCTGTTCTAGTTACCCAATGAGAAATTTGTCGATCACTAAACAATATGAAAGCTCCATAAACAGCCAATGTTGACATGTTAAAATTAAAAATATGATTCAAGTTGTAATTTTCCTCAGTTCGGAAATGTTGATAAATATCAAGGACCTCTTTTATGATAAAAATGTTCTATCTGTTAATCAACAAGTATTAGACTTTTCTAAAAGTTTAGTTTAGACACCTTTACCAAAGTCAAGTTTTTACAAATTCCTTTGTATGAACCTATTGGTCAACATGTTGTTTCAGCAATAAAACTCACCTAATGTGAAATAAACAGAAATAGCTGTGTTTCCCGTCTCCCACCTCGACTAAAAACCTAAAAAACCTGCATTCATAATACAAATGTCCTTTTTTGTATTCCTTGAATAAAATAGCTTCAGAATCATCCCTTTCTGTTATCACATCTTTTCCCGAAACGAAACGTCCGTGGTTGGTCGGCCAGTAAACGGATCTGCAATAAACATTTGAAATGATTTAAAAAAAACTTACTTGATATAAAACACGTCATATTTATCCTTATTTTATCCTACTCCAATCTTAAAAATAACCTTTAAGTTAAACTATGGAGAAATGTTGAAATGAAAATTTTGATCATTGTGATTCAACGTCTATGAACATGGTACCAGTTTGTTTATTATTCATCTAGAAGGTCCTAATATAGGGACAAGACAAGCAACATGCATCACAAATACAAGTATCAAATTTGTACATTATATAGTTATTTTAAGTAAATAGACACGGATTCAAAATTCCCTTTGGAATTAGTATATGTACATGACAAACAAAGTTTGTTTTTTCCCACATTTATGCATGGTTATATAAATAAGAAGTTCACAAAATTGTTTCATCGGCAACTAAATTCAAATTCTAGACCTTAGGCTGGTGGTATGGAGTATTGTATTCTCTTTAGGTGTGCTGATGCTTCAAATAACCATATTCATTTATAAAGATGTTAGCTACTGGATATAGTGTCTCAAAATATGCGTCATACTTCAAGTAAAACAATAACGCTTGCAACATTTCTTAATTTCTTTAACATTTCTTTTTACAAAGGTTAACTTTATTTTTAGGCGGCATATCTCAATGTCTTTTTAATCGCTTAAATATACTGATATGTACCTTGTATCCCTCAAGATTTTCTTCTTTACTTGTGGTACTTACACCTCGCCAGATAATTTTAACACTCTGGGAAGTATGAGAGTACACATGGATTTCAGTAGGGTATAAAATGGGAGCTGAAACGGAAACGTTTTAATATTATTCCTCTATTCATACGTCTTTGACATTCAAAGTGCATATCAAAGCAAAGTTGACACTGTCAGTAGGGTCAGCCTCATATACATTGTTTTTGTTACTTATGTATGCTCTGCAGATATCAGAGACATTTTGGTTGGGGTTTACGTCGAACAAAAACAGTGTAGGTCATATGGCAACTTTCCAGCTTTACTGGTGGAGGAAGGCTTCATATGCCCCTCTGTGCATTATTTAAGGTACAAAGGGCCACCTGAGTAAAACCAACGACGTTCCCTAAGCAAGCTAGATAACTTTCAGAAACATTGTATTGCAGATGAACATACAGCAAGAATTAGCGCAACAGTATATATTATTAGAAATATTATTCTGTCCAGTTTTGTTTGGAACATTACCTTTCTCATATTTCTGCTTATGTTTTACAGTAACTACTATATTATGGCTGAACGAAACTACTTGAAATACAGGTTGGACCATACAAAATATCAGAAAGATTCTTTTAACGAAATTAACGACATTATTAACAGTTTGGTTTACATGAAGCAAAGATTATACACCTTCTTTATGTGTATGAGCATGATAAACCTCTCCTCTCGGACCCATCCCTGCCGTCGTGAGAAGTTGTACGTCAACTGTATACCATGTATAGGGATCCAAACCTATCACTATACCAGAGGATGTCTCTCCTCGCCAACTTATTGCATCCAGTGAAGCACCGTCTACGAACCGAAGTTGGTAGTTCACCTTTGATGAAATTATACTAGTATAACACCATAGCTTCTGACAACAATAACAAGTACAAGTAGAATGTAAAGAAATACAGAGTACTTATACAATGTAAACGGCATTGTGTAAACTAATATTATTCAAAACATATTGGTTATATGAAGTATAATATAAAATGGACCGATACAAACTGTTAAATGTGTCGCTTTAACACACAATGGTTGATAAAAAAATAAAACTTTTCCCCGCGTTTAATGAAATGTTTATTGATGAAAAACATAAAAGGAAATATCAACAAGAAAACGGAGAGCGACATTCTTTGATCGAAGCCCTTACACAACACGTAAGTCCATCGATAAGGCACCAAATAGGGTAAGCAACGAACAATTTTTAACAGAATACCAATTAATTAACATAAACATTACTTGATATCCGAGAAGCTTCCCTCTCATATGTTCCCTGTCGTTTGGTATAACATCCCACGTGACCTCTAACGCCGTACAGTTGTAAGCAAAGGCATACACGTTTCTTGCAACTCCTATTGGCACTGTGAAAAATTGGGCAAAATGTAAACAATATAACATTCTTACATCTTATAAATATATCTATATCTAGTCCACTTTTCATAGACAGGTCACATATCAATGTTAAACACTGCATGACATTGGACAAGTATTATTTTTTATAACATAAATGCTACAAATTTCTAAATTATCTTTTGTCTTAAATTCAGACAACAAGTATTCAGTATACTTGATAAGTTTTAAAATCTCTTTAAATCACAAAATTAAATCAAATATTAGCACTATGAATATGAATGAAAAATAGACTTTAAAGAACACTGTTTAAATTAAATATTAAAAGATAACTTTTACTGGTAAAAAATGTTAGTTAATTTGAAAACAAATCTATAATATCCAGTATCAAAGAATGATAATTATGTTAACATATCATACCAGTTATTACTGTAATCATAATATTATATTAACCATATGAACGAAGTTGTGCCTAATACGAAAATTGTGAATGCATTGTTGTAGAATATGCACGGTTCAAGTTCAAATCAAAAGCAGGAGATTTACTCACGAAGGCTGATATGCCTTTGTTATTAATTTCAAAGCATTTGAACGATAAACTTTGCATTATTATACTATAATGCAAAAGAATATCTATTTTCAATCTAACATGCCTTTAAAAGACAATTGATACAAATGAATAAGTAATTTTACTAACGTCATTTGGTTTGTTAACGTCATTTGACGTGTAAGCACTCTTTTTATGCTGTACAGATATCGTGTAATAATGGACTTGATCGCCCTATCTGTTTGATAAGGAAATAGTGTGCAGCGTGTTAGTGGTTACGTCACATGTATGATGATAACGTCGCATGTTTAAATATAGAACGTCAACAGTGACTTTGTTGCATAATAACACACACTTTCGGTTCTTCTATGTTCAATTGGGAAAAGTGCGGGTCGTGTTAGAATTCTTTAAATAACGCTTTGGACAAAATGAAGTTCATACTTTCCTCGGCAGAGTAGATGTAAACACCTTCAGGTGATACAGGGCCATCACCAAACTCGTTGAAGGCTGAAACTTTAACTTCATACAACATGTAGAAGTATTCCGAACCAACTGTAGTGGCATACGTGCCAGTGTCTTCATTTACAATATCCTGTTTTAATATTGTAATAATAATTATTTAAGTACGTGTATGTATGATTCATAGTGACTATAAAACGATTAAACTTTAAAAATAAATCAATATTAAAAAGATGAAGAAGGTAACATTTTTTAATATCACTGGGATAGATCTACATGATTTTTCAAGTAAAATAATACAAATACAATTGTTTTGTGGGTTCATTTTATTGCAAAACGTTTTTTTTTTGGGGTATCCCATTTAAAACAGTACATAAGTGAAATAAATTTTTTAAAAAATATTTAATTTTAAAAGTCTAAGTTTTCCAAAAGGGTTAAAAAAAGAAATTTTTTTGAAAAAACCCCCTTTTTTGATAAAAATGAAACTGAATTCCCCAAATTTTTTACGGGGATGTTTTTACAGTATTGCAAAAAATTGGGAAAATTTCAGTATTTTTTTATATAATTTTTATTACCTATTTCGAAAACCTTTCATGAATATTATTAATATTACCCCTGAATATTAAGTTTCCCTAATTTTTAATATTGCCCCTTCTGGGGAAAAAAATAAGAAAATTTTAAAAATTTCATTGTAAAATTTATTTACCCCCCCCTTTTAAATTTTTTTTAGTAGTTTTGCCCGTCTCCAGTATACAACATAACCTATTCCAGGTCCTCCTTTATCTTCTGGAGGTAGAGGCTACAATATACAAAAAATAATTTCTTTTACATGTTATGTGCCAAGTGGCTATTACAGTGTAAAAATTTTATTTGTTTATTTGATACTATGTGACAAGACGAGAAAAATGTGCATTTTAAAGACCAGTCCGTTTCTTACGCATATATTAACAATAAGGGAAGGACAAATTAATGCTCTCAGTTATGTAAAGGAGATTTAAAGAACATTAATGATTATAACATAGGCATTAACATTGCACAAAATGGACAATTACTATTACATTAAAACACAAAAAACATATATGAATAATAGCATCTCATCACTGAAGCTTATCACAAGAAAGAGTAATGTCTGAGAACATGTTAGTAGCACGGTATTTTCATACTTACTGTCCACGTGATGGTAAGAATTCCCACGCTACCCCCTCCTCCTCCAACATTATCCGGGTACTTTGATGGCGGTGCACCGGGTATTTTATACACAGCTGTTTCATCAGAAAAATAGTACGTTAATACTGATTTCAGATTTCTAGTAAAATGTACTAACAAAATTAGTCTAGCAAAGTATATTCCTGCACACATACGTTTGATGTATTTAATCGTTATAGAGAAGTAAAAGATGTTACCTTAGACCATTCAAATTGAATAAACTACCATTTTCTCTGTTACATACATAACAAAATGACAAAGCAAACAAGGGAATGTTTCTATTTCATATAATACTAAGTGTAACTTATCAAACGAATTCATAAACGACAAATTTTATAACAATCCCGTGACGAGTTTAATGTTCATTCGTGAGAAATGTCAAAGATAAAATTAATTTTATTACACAATGTTGTAACGCCAGGACACTCCGAAAAAACGTCAACATTCACAATATTCAACACTGTTTTTATTTCAAATGTATAATATAAAGAAATTGAGAAATTGATGACATTTTAAACTAAAAACATCTATCAAACAAATTTTAGATATTCTTTCACTTGGGTTTTACGTTACGTCAATGAAATAAACAAACGGATGTGAATCCCAGATTTCGTTTTTGTCTATTAAATTATAGACTCTACAGACCAATCGGCCGCTTCTTAACATATTTTGTGTTTTAAACTACCTAACAATTTCCAGTAGACCATGTAATGATTGTCGACAATTTGTTATATTCACTTAGGTTATTAACGAATACAGTTCTGATTGCACCAATGTCACATGTAAGTTATCTGGAAATATTTTCTTAACAAGATAAGTTATTTTATGAAACATTTACCTGAGCTTCTGCTAGCTTGCCCAACACCAAAAGCATTCACTGCTCTCACTCGGAAATAGTAACTGTTGCCAGATTTCAAACCATCAACATTTATTGCATGTTTTTGTGTACCAGTTATCTGGGATAACGTGTAAGGTATGTCTATAAAGATATACATTGGACCATTGACAAAATATTTGGTAATGACATATTTGAACGCATGTACCGCTAACAACCGTCAATGCAATATATTAAATGAACAAGTCATTGTCTTTGAGGCACAGGACAGGACATTGATTGTTTGTTAAGGTCTTAGTTGAACTAAAGTTTGAGATACTACTTATGCCCTATTACAGTCTCTTTCCTACTCTGTGGTCCTTGATTATGTGCTATAATCAGCATATATTTTATATGTGATTCTGACTGTGTATTTTTAAAGTACAAGACTTGATACGAGTTAAATGTTTTACTATTTTGACTCAATTTAAAATTTAGAAAATTTATATCATATATTACATGTGTACACTGGCGCCCACGTGTTGTTATATTCGGTGCATGCTTCTATGTTATGGAACTGTGTCGGTCGGCCATGAGTTTCACCCTCTGTCCATACTACAACTGCAGAAGTTGATGTAATTGTATTTCTATCTAGCCTGACGCCAGCAGGAGGTCCTGGTGGTCCTTCAATAGACAAAAATATCATCATCCATAAAGAACATGGCAAATTGCTTTCATGCAAAAACTAATCAGGAAAGTCAGTATTATCGCATACCAATTTTATTTGAATTCGTCATAGAAAAACAAGTGCGCAAATCCCATGTAGCCACTGATATTAATTTAATATGAAAAAAGTCCTTTGTGAAAACATTTTGTAATATCTACACTTCACTGATGTATTCATGCGCAAGATGTATACCTTCAACAGTAAACACTGCGGAAGCATTAACAGCATCATACGTTGTCTTGGCAACGCACGTGTACATGCCGGTGTTATCATACCGTGCTGATCTTACATATAAAGCTCCCGGATATTGCGTCGTTCCCTGCAATGATATATGCACTGTTAATGATGTGTACTTTTTAATGACACTAATGAACGAAGTCAATTTTGGATCTTAAGGTACCTTAAATACAACATAGTAATTAGGAATTGTGTTTGTATTGCGTTCGAGTATAATCAGCGGCTGTGCTAAGTTCATTCGTGTTACAGTAATAGAATATGTATTTCATATTATTCAATATAAGATTACGTACATGTACAAAATACATGTCCCAATGAAATGTCGTAAATCGATAAGTTGAAAGCAAATATTGAACACTATATATAGACCTATACAACTATTAACTTTTTTCATAATAGTAAAGGTATAGATAATCTTTCCTTCAAATGTAAATATATTTATAAAAATAATATATTTTATGTGCACACAAAACAAAATACCCCGGTATGTTATGTACAGAAAACATAAACTTCATTTTAAAAGTATCACAATTAAATACCTAAATTTTTCAGGAAATAGCATAATGTATTTCAAATTTGACTTCTCAATTAATTTAACTACAAAGATGATAATAATAAATAATATAACAATATAAGATAATTTTAAAAGTTACAAGTGTAAGATGTTGATTGTTTCTAAGGTTGATCTCACGTCCATTGAATCGCCAAACATAAATACTGTCAACGTTTCCCGGAAATGACGCATCACAAAGTAACACGGACGTCTGGTTAATCTTGCCCAGCGTGTTTTGTGGCCGCATATTTATAACTGTGTTAGCTGTTGTAGTAGGGAAAATTACCATTGATATATAAAAGGGATAAGTCTAACGTTTTAAGTGAATTCTGCAGATTGGGAGATCACGTGACATATGCTGGTGGTAGCGCCCATCTGCTTATATTTACGATATATATATTATTTAATTGTAAAAATGTATATACTACAATCCAAGCAGATATTTACCAAAATGTTACTTTTCCAGCTATATTTGCTCACAATTTTTAATGCAAACTACATTTTTTGATACAAACTTAGGACAGATTTAACACCAAAAAAACCAACACCGATTTATGCATGCACTACAGACAATCTACACGAACAGCATTGTAAATTTATTTATGAAACGTAACAATGAACTGTCGGCATTTGCAACATGTGATGCACCAACAGAAAGCATAACTGGATTTAGCCTCGTTTGCCATTCCACAGTTTATAACGTCCATATCAAATCCATACCCCCCCTAAACATTCCCCTCGTTTTTATAAACCGGGTCCATTGTTCTAAAATTTTTCCAAAAAATTACAAAAAATTTCACGTTTTCCCCGCCCCTGTAACAGTTATATTCATTGCAAAGCGAAAAGAATACTAACATATTAATAGTTTGTAAGCTTTTATTGCACTATCACAGCATTTGATGTAGTTACATAATAAAAATGTAGATATTTACATGAAAGTTTCATTTACGTCAAAGTTTGGCATTTATAGGACCGTTATTGGTTCATAAGAGAAAAAGATGCAAGTTTTCAAAGTTTGTTTTCCAAATAGTTTAAACATACAAACTACTTTAAGTTCGCCACAACTTGTATCTGATCCATAAATATTTGTTGCAACACAACAGTACGTCCCAACATCACCGGTTTGTACTTGTGCTATAAATAGACTTCCGTCTGAAAGTAGTCGAACACGTGACGAACCATCATCCGGCGTTGGATTAATATTGCCGCCATTTCTGTAATAATAATATATGTGAAACGTACAGTTTTGCCAGTCAGAAATGTGTCGAATATTTGTGAAACCAGACGACCATAACAAACATTTATCAAAGAAGATTAATATTTTATCTTTTTATTTACAATGTATTTGTTTATTTATTTTGTATTTCATTGTCGACAGTGATTCCAATTATGCATGCATAGACATGGGATTGATTTATTTTTATATCCAATTTGCAGACTCGTTCTACCAAACATCATGTCTACATTATATTGATCCCGCCCTTTGCTTGACAAGTGTGCAGGTTTCTAAAATTAGGATATTCGTCAGGGGCGTAGCCAACTTTTTTCAACTTGTAGGTACATAAAAGGGGGTCTTGGGGCTTAGCCCCCGGAAGCCAAAAACAAGCTCAGATTAAAAAGAGCAAAATTCACATTCAAAGGTATGTTCAAGGAAAATTATCAAAACAATAATTTTAAACTATGAAATTGATTAGATGCATACTTTATTGAGGATGGTAAATCATGCGCACACACTTGATTCGACTCACTACCTACTCCACTCTCGCCTGTTTTATTGTATTTTTGAAACTTTTGAAAATGTTTATTTCTTGATCAACTTGTAGGCCCGTGCTTACATGGCCTTAAAGTAGCAACGCCACTGTTCGTACTTCAATCATATCTGGCATTATGAATTTAAAAATATAAACATCCCAATGTTTATTTACGATTTGTTTACTAAACGTGATAAGAATAATAATTAGGACAGAAAGAGTACCAGATCGTGAAATTCCGCGCTCGAAGAAAACCTTTTCATGCAAATTATTTAAGAATACCTGGTCCATGTAAATTCTGGAAAAGGTGCAGCCTCTGGGGAACAATCTAATGTGACATGACCGTTAATGGCTGCCGTCTGGCTAGGATTTCTTGGACGTTTGTGAAAGGATGGTTTAAATGCTGAAAAATAATTGAAAGTATAATCTTAATCTGTATACAGGAATCGTAGGCAAACATAGGCAAATGTTCATTGAAATATCTTGAAGTTTCCCTTCAAAAAGTTTATGATACTTATGGAAGAAATAATGACAGCAAATATAGATAAGAAAACATACAATCAATCGTAAGACAGAATACAAGACAACTTACAGAGTACACGGAGTTGTGCTGAACTATATGAGTAGCCATGGGTGTTCATGGCAACACACTGGTACATTCCGGCATGCCGAGCTGAATCTAAACTCTAAATAGAATACAAAATAAAAAACAAATTAATTGAACTGATTAACAGTGTCGTTTAGAAAGCAAATTCAAGACAAAAATTAAAGATTTTCTTGACGTTCTTAAATGCAATACTTAATCTAATTTAGTTTATATTCCTTGTCCTAGAAGGAAAACGGGTTCAAGCCTACTGAAAAGCCAATCAAAATTCTTCTTAAATGTACAAGAATTATCCAATGTACACAAATGAATAATGTAAAGGGACGTAATTGTGCATAATAGGTTATATCAATGATGAACAGATTGTTTCCATTTCATAGTATAGAATAAAGTTTATACCGGATCTAAACTTACACATTTGTAGTGTATAATTATGTAGTGTAAACTCACATCAATTAGTTAATATGTCTTTTTTAAATAAAAAACGGACAAAAATGAACAGTATTATTTTAAAGACATGGGAAGTTATAAGATGTAAAGTAATTCGATTCTTGCTAAGTCTTGTTAAAACAACAAAGTGAATGCAACTTACTTGAAACTTTATAGTGTTCCTCTTTACTTCAAAATCACCAGGGACTGATTGTAAAATTTCACCATTTTTATACCAAATGTAGACCCCAAGCGGAATTGCTTTTGCCTCACACCGCCAAGTTAGTTGACTTCCGGTGTCGGCGTGCAGGTCGGGCAACGGGAATCGGAAGTAAGGTCGGGCTTCAATTTGAAATGAACAAAATATGAAATACTGGAATTATTTTTTTGTACATTAATCGTTTACTTTGATACAAATTTATTTTAGTTGCGTAAATGCAATTGACAAGGAAATGTGTATAATATCAGATTTATCAGTATATGTACTTTAATTTACTTTCTTTCATAATTCCATGATTGAATATCTTACGTTCCGCATTTGTATTATACCTGCATTTCTCGTTTAAACTGTAAAAATGTACAAACGTGTTATTTCATACCATATGCTTATTTGCAAAAGTTGTAAGCCAATTTATTTAAGCAGTCCCTACACAACCTTTATGTGAATTACTTTACACAATATTCTAACTTTTGTATCATGCAAAGTGCATGTATATTAAACTGAACAAGTCATTGGTAAAAAACATACCTTCAATAACAAGGTTATGGACTGCCTGAACTCGAGCCCCTGTGTCCCTCATCACCGTACAGTAGTAAGTTCCCGCGTCCTCCAGCTGGGCATTGGCTATCTCGAGTATTCTATTGTGATCACTAAGGGTGCTCGTTGTAGGCAACTGGAAGTCTTTTCTTGACCACGTGTATGTAAACGGTAATCTAAAATTATTAGAGGAAATGTTATCTATTGTACTTGCTTTGTTAAATTCTGAGATAAATATGAAAATGACCGTATATAACGGTAATCTAAAATAAATCCGAAAAAAGGTTTAGAAGCAATGAGAGTAAAAAATCCAAAACATCAGGACTACTTCGAAAGAAAGTCAGTTATTTTTATGTTTTGGGTCATAGAACCAGGTATAGTAATCCTCAAAGCTGTTTTTCTGCATGAAACTTATAAGAGACTCCAATCAACTACTACCGAAAGACTTAAATGTAAGAAGCTAGTAGACAGTATCATTATTTAAAACCCCGGCAACTCTAATATTACTAGAAAAATGTATTTATAATTAATGCAAGAAACTGGTATTTTGGATCAGATAATGCAATATAAAAGTAAAAGTGATTAAAACCAGTTTCTTTGTATAAATATAACGTACGTGCCATATGCAAGACACTCAAGTTTTACTGTATTGCCACGCAATGGTTTATTTGGAAACGAGGCAATAAATCCATCCGCAATTTCTGGACCCCAAGTTGCCGGTACTGAAAAAAAGAGAATATTTTCATTCTATATCGATAAATTAAATTAAGAAAATAACAGTCACATTTTAGTTTATTGTAAAAGCGAAACTGATTAATCGCCGTTCATCTTTTATTTTTCATTTATTTATAATTATATGTATATAACAGTTTATTTAAATTTTATATGTTCAATAATAAAACTATATAAGCGATTTGTGCCATGGCAACTGAACTGGTGTCGAGAAGGAAGTTGTACTACTGAATATAAATCCATCCCCTTATATGGTTTATCCGACCTTTTGCAAGTGCATAAAATTTTAAACATACCTTGATGTCTTATATCTAATGGTATAGGGAGACTAATACGACTTGGCGGCTGGTCGGTACTCATTTTGTCTGAACCGGAAGTTAGCTTGACAATACACCGGTAGTCTGACTCATCGTTCTTAGTGACTTCAGAAAAGTAAAGCTTCCCATTGTTAGAGATGAAGACATACGGATTGAGTTCTGGTCGCACAAAATCAGCGATTTCACCTCGGTACCACTGGTAACTCACGGCTAAAAAGTTAAAGAGAATGTCTAAAGTATATATTTCTAAAAGAATAATCTTTTGAAACAGAATATCATACTCCGTTACTTGAACATGAATAAGTTTAAATCAAGGTACTTATTAAAGTACTGCTTAATTATGTATCGTTTGAAGGTCTCTTAAACTTCCTAAACGCACTAATGTTATCAGAGATAGAGACTTTAAACAGTCTGCCTTGACAGAATGCAAGGGAATTTTGGAAATATTCTCTTAACTATGCTGGCCTATTTCATTGCAAAATGATTTGGCCGATAACCTTTCACAGTTCTTTTTAAATAAAAGAAATATTTGCAACTGTGTTTGCTTACACGGATTTTCTAAGGTTTCCAGCTGTAGTCTTGTTGGCATTAAAAAGGTAAACAAAATAAACTTTATATTTTGAAAATAATAGCTATAGCTATTATTCATTGCAAGCATTTATTTAATTTTAAAAAAAGATAAATACGCGACAATAAAACACTGTATACAATACGTTATGACAGCGAGGTCTTGCTTTATAGTTTGGCAGCTCTTTGGTGAGTTATTTAAGTGGTCAAGGAATAAAATTTTGTTTTTGATAATTATAGAAAAGGTAGCAAGAGTGTTAATATATTGGTAGTGATTCCAGGTAAACGAGGGATGCTTTACAAGTTCATTCTTAGGCATACAGTTCCGATCAAACAATGCTACCAAAATTTATGGTTTTTACGTTTGTTTGTTCTAATTCATCGTAGTTTAATTTATTCCTAAAATATATACATATATACACAAATCTGAGTATCAGTCAATTAAATATTTTGATGTTATGTATGATATAACATTATAAGTATAAATGTGAATAAAATATTAGCACGTTTGTTTACCTGGTTTATATGGTGGCGGGGAACATTCAATAGCCACACTCTGGTACTCCAGAGCAACAACTGGTGCCCGTTGTACATTACTAAAATATTCCAGAACTGAAATATGTTGTGCAGAAAATGTTAAACATTGTTTCTCATACATGCACTATAAAGTTAAATTAAGGAAAAATAACAAAACTGTAATTCAAATGATGCATGTTCAGCAATTACCTCCCTTGCATATAACTAATCTTTGCAGGACGTTAAAAATATTATTGTATAACATTTGATTTGAACATCTTTTGAAAGTAAATGAACGTTAACAGGTTGTATTGCAGGAAATTAGACAGTTGGTCATGTAAATTCTACAACATTCTCGCGTGATCAAACATCACATTACATGCATGCTCTTGTGTCATGAATACTCTGCCATGAACTGTAAATCGCTAGACAACTGTCGCGATGAAATTACAGGCAATTACAACATAACCAGAATATGTTTTAGTTACAAAATATTGACATCATTTAGGCTAGAAATTGCCTATTTTTTCAGATAAAATTGATGAAACTCTAGTAAATTAAACACAATCATCGGGAGATTGACAATCCCAGTTGAAAAAATACAAATGTTAGCTTATCTATATAAATAATCATAAATCTTTTAGCATAAATACTTATGCAACATCTGGCATAATAATCATATAAAACAAATGTGCAAACGCTGTATATTGTCTACCGCGATGTTACTAGCCAATTCACTGTATATCGTACCAAAGATATTAGTCGCCACACATTGGTATAGACCCGCGTCTTTTGACTCCGAGGGATTCTCTATAACCAGCCTTTAAATAAATGTATAAACTGATTATGAACCATTTGATTAATAATTTGTTTCAGTCTATATTTGTATGTTTACTTTGTAAAATTGGCAAGAGAACTTGTAAATTAAGTGCGATACATCAATGCAAGTATACTGTGAAACATGTGCATTGGTATATCTGAGTGTATTTGATTCGCTGGTACGCAGAGTGCGCATAACCCAAATGTTACTTCCGTTTCAAAGGAAATGTCGTAGTGTAAAAATATATATATATCTAGCACGTTGTGTGCTTTAAAACATATTGCATGGGGGTCAAATCTGACCAGGAACAAGTCGTTGTTGTCTTTGAGCAAGAATGCATTCATTGATAAGTTCTTAGTTGGGTCTTGGAACGAAGTCAACAGATTGTCTGAACTAAAAAGTATATAAACAATAATATATAGTTGCAAAGGTTTAAAATTATTAAAAACCACTTATTAAGCTGGTACATTTGCGAGCAAGAAACGCTAATTTTATGTTCCAAACCACATGTGATAGTTAAAAAAGATTACTTTTATGCGTCGTTTCAAGTTTCTTTATAAAAAGTTTTGTATTTTGATGGAGATGCGGAGCTATACCCTGTGCAACGTACCTTCCACCTATTACAGTATATCTTCCGTCCATATCGGCGGAAATGTCAATTTCTGTACCATCATCTAATGTATGTTTTATCTTGTAGGTAGGCATTGGACTCCCCTCGGCCATACACTCCAGGGATATTGTAAATGTCTCATCGTCAGCGTCAATCCTAGAGTCATCCTCAATAACTACGATATTTTCCGGCTGAATAATAAACTTTGGTCCTCTTGGTGCACTGTTTACATCAGTAAGGTTTGTTCCATAAGCTGTTTGAACGATTTGAGTTAATAATTTCATAATATTCCAACCACTATCCACATTTCTTACAAATCTTAGAAATAACAAGAATTCAACAAATGCTACAATAAATTGCCTTATGGTTTATATAGAATACCATCATAATATTAGCAATAACTTACAGCAGAAAATATCAAGAAGTTTACATGTATATTTTTATGTTTATTAATTAGCGAACAGAGGTCACCATTTACTCTGATAATCTAGCTATGGTCAAAAAATGTGTTTCAGTTTCAGAAAATAATGATTATGGTCATTAATTAAGATTTTAAATAGACCAATGGCAATGCTGTAATATCAGCCTCTACGCACGCGTCACTTCCCTACCTGCAGGTCATTATGATAAATGTAACATTTATACAGGTATTTGAACTTACTGAAGCCCCGTTCCCCTTGTGCTATTCTGTAAGCCTCGTTCCGGGGTATTTCACATATAAACGGTAGTTTTGTCATTGACTGTACTCGGCTCCATCCATAAACTATATCTAAATAATGTTAAATATATATTATTACAACATCATGAAAATTTGGAATGTTTTGGAGTAAACAATAAGCGTCTAACTATAATATTGACTCGTAAATTTTAGACACGGGAAATGACGAAGTTTACCGAATGTCTACGAGCTTTAACTGTATAGAGTGTACATTTAGCACGTCCATATTTAATTTTTCGTTTGAAAGAGTATGTTGTACGAAATACTATAATACTTGCTACATTTAGTTGAGAGTCGCTGTGTGTAGCATATACCAAATGGTAAAACTAAAATAATGTTAATGTAACACATTGTGTATTTTCTGACATTTAAATGTAAATTTTAATTTCTTTTACCATCCATATATGTTTAAGACTGCAATTTAAGTCTTAATTATCTAAAAACTTCTAGCAACACTTGATGGCAAAATAGAATTTTTTACACCTATAAAATGCTGTGTCAGCTTTTATTTACCATTTGTTTTATAGACAACTCTAGGAAATGGTAAAAGTCTATCCTCATCGCTGATCCACCATTCCTCTGTTGACACAGTACCATCACCCTCCCATTCCACGTTATTTGTTGTATCACCGGAAGTTCCACTTGTATACCATTCGTACCTTCATTATAAAGGTTATTATCATTGAACTCTGACCTTTGAACTCAATATTATTACTTTAGTAGAATTTGAAAATTTGATGAGGTGTATAATCTCAGTATCATAGAGAACAGGAGTCAACATATAAGTTATGTTTAATCAAAATATTATACAGTAGAAATACTGTATTTAAAAACATAATAATACTGTATCATTAATCTGTCAAATAAAATAATTATAGAAATAAATACAGTGAGTTGGCCAATAACGGATCACTAGTGAAACTTTTAGTGTTTATGAACGAATGATTTTTAATTTCTTAAATAAATGTATATAGATTTAAAGTATTTTTATTCCTCTTTTACTGTATACTTGTGAATTTGTATTCTGAATGCATCATGGTGCATTTACCTTTTTCAAACATCTAGTAAACATGCCAATAACGGGTCAAATCAGCCATTAGCGGATCACGTGACATACAAATGGGGGATTGTCTCAAAACACGAATTTTCTGTCAAATTCGTCTTGAACAAAGAAAATATTGCACAAATATATGTCACCCCTGAATATCAGAGTGTAAAGGGTACCACTTTGTAAAGAATTCAGGAGGCAACTGAATGATTGTGGTTAACATAGTAATGTTATGATTGTTATAATGGTTAACTAGATAACTGCTCTCAATGATTTGTGTAGGCAACAACCACAAGACAAATGGTTGACATTAAATGCATATTAATTTTTTTTTTCAGGATAACAAGGGAAAAAGCAGCTCATGAAAACACCTTCTATGTAAAACTTGATTTAAGTAACTGTAACCTTAATGTGTTATTGTTGCTGTGAAACAAAAGCTAAAAGTGCAATGCGTAGAAATTTTCATGTTCTTCTATGTGGTCAGTATGATTAGGATATACTAAATGTAAGAATAACAAACAAAATTTTCAACATATACTGCTTTACTCCTCCTTAGAAAAATCTGCAATAAAAACGAACAAAATCATAACAAAATACATGTACTAGTGTAAAGCAATTCTGACTATCATTCATAAAAGGCAATGTAATAATAATTCTGATTGTGCAGACAAATGGATATGAACTTCTATGTCACAATTAATTGTTATAAAACAGTAGCAACAGCTTAAAAATATGTAATTTAAGTAAAACATTTTCTTAAAAAAATATTTTCTATAACAGGTTGGATAACTTTGAGGCGGTCCCTTCCTATAAAATTGCATGATCCGCTTTTGGACAACTCGGTGCAATTCATTTGAATAGCGCTATCAAAATAATTCCTCAAGTATTTTTTAAACGGTTGGTGTTGCAGGTAGTTAACATATTGGGCATCAAATATCTACCAGCTTTGATCCAATATCTTTCGAGTTTTTATGATAAATAAGGCAACAATTTCAAATATGCGTTGTCAACGGCGCTAAATTTCACGAGAAACGGAAACGCTTGGTTAAGCATCTGAGTGAATCTGATATCAATTACACGGATGTTTACATTTTTTGTCCGCTGTCAAGTAGCTAACATCCTAATGCACATGCCTGTTAGGTAAAAACATTTTTAAGCTCAAAACTGTTAGAAGAATATTTCGTTAAATTACTGACTGATCCGTTATTGGCTATGATCCGCTATTGGCTAACTCACTGTATAAGTTTGAGCCCTTCTTGGGTTGAGGATCACGTTCCCTCCTAAGGAATCAGTTGACCGATTATAAAGTGATTAATCTATGTTCAATGCACTCGAGTCACTATCAAGCGTAGATATGTCTGTCTATAATGTTATTATTGATTTATGTTATTATTGATCAATTACAATAATTCAAATCGTTTTATTCTATAAACATATCAATCGTACTATTCTCTGTAGGTTTATTCTTGGTTTTACTAGTAAACATGCATGACCCCTCGGTCACATGATTAATTTAATTCTTTTGATAAACATGCATGCACGAGGGCTGCTAAATATGCATTAACTAAAATACATGTAAAAATGAACTAGATAAAAACCAGACGCAATAGTGTATCTGTGACTTACGCTTAGTTTCATATACTGTTTATATAGAATATATAGCATAACTAAATACAACTTAGTTATTTATCATATTAATTATGTTTACACTAATCATGCTCCATTTTTCTACCATTGTCATTAATACAACGTGTATATTTCATGATAATGTGTGTCTTAAAAAGATACCACTTGCTTAACATTCCTTACAAATAGACCAAAACATGTCATATAATTGTAAAAGGAAGATTTATGCATTTACCGCACGTTATTTACTTATATATTATGCAAATATTTGTTTGTTGTATTTCAAGTAATCAGTAATCTTTATATTTATTCCGCATTCGTGATAACAATTTTAAAACTAAATTGGGAAATAAACTTATATCTAAGCAATTGCAATAAGTTATTTTGAATTATTTTTTCATGTCGCAAGTGAATTCAAATTTGGGAACTGTCTGTACCTGTCATTTTCAAAATAAATTCAATATCAAAATCTATTCCATTATTTGTTTGATGTTTTTGCTGGCCCTTGATTAAAATCATCCCGCTGAAATAAGATTTTAACTGTTTTTCTTTCTAACTTTTACTTCATTACCCACGCGGACGAGTAATAAGTATAACTACCTTTTTTAAAAAATTCTATTAAACGAAATAATTTTGTGTTGTTAGAACGAGATATCTTTTACATTCGAGACTTCCCAGAAACAACATATTTTTTTTTCTTTTACAACATAGGGACATGTGTTGTTTTCGTTTGGTATATATTTGCCAAACAGTCATACTACACCAAACCGTCTTCTAAATCAGTCTTTCAAATGCTATTTCTAAGACCCAGTCTAAATAAAATATCTGGGAAACCTTCTTCCTAGCCCAGATACAAGTCGAGTGCAATAATACATCTACTGAACAAAGTAGATAGTATGACAGGGCTTTATCACTGGATAAAATAATAGTTTATAACTTAATGGCTGTTTATTTTGTATTTATATGTAGAGTAAATGAACAGAAGAAATTCCGTCAATCAAATCTAAAGAATAGTGTCTTCAACGGTAAAACTTTAACGGAACAATGCAACGCCAATACATGTATATGAATTCTATTTTTTTAAAATTTATGTCTGTTTTTTATTAGCACTTAATGTCCTCCTTTTTATTTAAATAGTAAATTAGATTTTATTATTTCCTTACCCAGCAGCGTTGTAAATTCTCAATTGTTCGGTTATAAAACTGTGTTCACTCAGGCTGTTTACAGATACTAGAGCCGCGCCGTATATCTGAAACAAAACAGTGCATTGAAATACTAGATAAAAAAGATCTTACATAATCACAATTATTTTAACTTTTTTACTTGTACGATCCAAATTGAACTGGTTAAAAGAATTAAAATTCATAGCTTTAAGGATAGTTTAAACTAAAAATAAACACAGACAAAACAAAGGTTTAAATGTATGTTAATTTTTTATCAAGATGTTAAACCGATATAGAATGTTCCGAATAACTTGACGAGGCCTAGTTAAACATGAGCGGCGATAATTTAATATATGTGTAAATTGTCCGATTAATCATTGTCTCGTGAAGATTTGGCTAATTACGTCATTTTCCGTATCTAATAGTAATTAAAAAAGCGACCAGTTTGGTTTGGTTTAAGTCCGCTTGCGAAACAAGTTATTCCAACTTATATTATATTAATTAATAATTACGAGTCCAGTACTTGTGTCATTTGAAGAAACATGGTCGTGACCCGTTTAGGGCTCGAACTCATGATCCCTGGGTTGAGTGGCACTTAAACCACTAGATCACCGTTCCCCGCGACCAGTTGAAAAATATTTCAGAAGCATGTATTCATAACGTAATTTTACCTTTTAAAGATTTCGTCTTGAATGTTTGAATTTTCTGTAATAGCAAATAAGCCAAAAAATTAATGTCCTTAACCAGCATATTATATTTTTCATTATTAGATGTATTTGAACTTTTCCTTGTATATTTACATGCAACCTAGCAAATATAAAGGGTTATCTAGGAAAATTTAAGATTGAGTTTTTCTCTGCCCAAGAACATTTTACACGGAGGGGTTTTGTACATCTCTTATTTCAGTATGAAAAATTATTAAAGTAACATTTTTCCCAAAGTGTTCACTACAATTAAAAAATCATATGTTTAACCTCGGTTAAATGATCACTTTTTGTATAAGTACTGACCACACATGTGCCACTCTTATTACTGTCTCTTGTCATTTAGAACATACAATTAAATTTGAGAATTTAGGAAGGTTATTCAATGATTTTAAATGCTATTACAAGATTTGCACAAATCCTGCACAAGTTTTACGTCAACAAGAGTCATCTGGCCATGAATCAACAGCGTTTGCTACACGACAGGTCCTTAATAATGTTTTACAATTCTACTTCAACACATCTGTAAGCTGCGTTTTCTAAAATTTATGACAACGATAAATCTTAAAATTATATCATCATTTCAATTTTAGTCATTCTTAAAATATTCTGACATGTTAATCCATGATCATATACAAATCTTATACTAGTCTCTAAATGACTAATTGATCTTACTCATTTATTGCCAGGTAATGACTGATATGCAAATAATCTTGGTAGTTTATGTTTTAGGTAGTTTATTTGATACTCGGTATCATTCAACAGAACCTCTTTCTTTATTTCTATTTCAAAATAATTCAAAAATGGTCCAACAAACCACCTATACAGTGTTACATACATAAGCACCAAACATTAACCAAAACAAATTAAATTAGTTCTCTTAAACGAAATTTGATTTAAAGAATAAACCGGAACCGCCTAAAACCGACTTTATTGTAAAGTAACGAATAAAATACCCCTACGTTAAAGAAAAAATCAGCAAATACAATTATAGAAGATAAATTTATAACTTCAATTTTTTGTTTATTTATGTATTTATAATTTTTTTTGGAAGAAATCAGAAAACCAATATATTTTCTCTGTTTACCAAGAACAAGAAAACAAAAGAGTACCACTGAACTACCTCTTGTTTATATATGTAAAATGAGTGTCTTAGGTAGGTTTGTTACAACTTTATTTATTGTTAAATTCGTTTTATATACGATTTATGGAGATATTATAAATGTATGTATGACCCTGGACCAGTTTAAACAGGAAGTGACCAGTCTTCACCACCGTGTTTGAAATGAAAATATTGTTTTTATCTGTTTTAGCTGTATACTTTCTCTTTTTACTTAATACTATCAACATTTTATTTCAAAACTCTCAAATACATGTACAGTATTACTTTTATTCTCCTTTGCATTTCTTCTTTTAAACTCTTGCACAGACACGTACCTGCACATTATACTCAAAAGAGGGTGTTGCAGATATAGCTTTTATAATTTTCCATAACCCGCCCTTGAGTTGAAATACAACAGTCTCTATGAATGTTATAACAAAGCGTTAAAGCAAGTAAAGTTTAATATGTAAAAACAATTTAAAGATTGAATCTTTGAATATTTCAATAAAATAGAAATAATTTAATATAAAACAAGTTCCCTTGAGATAAGTAGAAAATTCGCGCGACGAATTGCGTATACACGGTCTCCGGGATTTTAAAGGCTTGCAAAAATAAGCGAAAACACTTAAAACATGCCTTTTAACTTCATATTTAATATATGTTTTATGTTTGGCTCCATTATTTTACTTTTGCATACATTTTCCGCTAATATTAAATCTGATTCGTGGGTATGTATTTCTGAGAATTATATGACAATTATACAAAACTGAACTTATCAGTCATAACGTTACGTTATCTGTTATTATTTTACCAATTCAAAGGACCATTAAAGTTATGTTACTTTAAACTAAAGTCATGATAATTAAAAAAATAACCATTTAAATGAGTCTTTCGACTTTGTTTGCGGGTGAAATAGACGGTACACACCGGACAGAGACCCGAGAGTGTCAGTGTCATTGCAGATATGTTTTCTTTAATGTATTGCCCTATTACATGTAAAGCAAGTGTTGTCGTATCTAAAAAAATAATAATATATAGTTTAGTGTTAAAGACCGTCAAAATCTACTCACGTGACAATGTTCCACGGCCCCTGTATAATCTCTGGGATCAATCATATAAAACAGATAACATGATTGCTGTGATGTTTGCCACGTGACTGGACATACTTAAAACATAAAATGATTATTTTGTTACTTTATTTATACATATAAGTATATAACTACATAAACGTTGGACTCATATTCATGTTATATTTAAAAAGAATAGTAATATATATCGTTCAATATCCAATATAATGCGCACTTGTTTTTCCGCCTGACTTTTCCTATTTCAATAAATAACTGCTATTTCAATTACTTTATTCATGTAGAAATATATAAAATCATAAAATAATGAAAAAGGATACTTACTTTGGCCATTCACACAACCGAAAATAATTATCCAAGAAAACAGTACGCATAACGTCCACATTCTAGTAGCGCCATGTAAAAGTTTTCGTCACGTTTTTTTATTATCCAAAAGTTGATCGTATTGGCACTGATTTACAACTAAACCTCTTCAGTAGAAACTGCCATAATTCAAACCGGGTTTATGACGGCCATTGATCAATAAACAATTGTCACTCAACACATGTGCAACATTCTTCAACCGGTTTAGTCATTCCCTTGGCTGCAAAGCTGAATCAAATTACATAATCTGTCTACATAATTTAGTGAATTTATCATTTTAAATAATAATACCATTTCCAATCCTAAATAAAACTTTCATTTCAAATTTTATTCCAATAATAGGCTTTTTTAAAATTTTGTTCAGGTATAATAATGCATCTTAGTTTGGACTTTGTTTAGTTTATCATCCGTTAAGGAAAATGTGTGAATTTTGTAATCACTACAAAAACCAGTTCACGTAGACACTAAAATTAACGTTTATGTCTGGGAAGTTATAAAGTTACATTCATCTTAAATGTTCATATTATGCTACACTTTTATAGTACCGCACTCTACCTAAAACAAGGAAGGTCCTCGATTGAAGATTTTTTACATATATATTCTCTATTACGATTGATTATTTTATTATAATTTTAAAAAGTAATATGACATTTACTGTTATGTTATGATAAAATATGTTTCTTGACTTAACGTAAAACATTCCGCAAAATATGAGTTTGTAAATATGATACCTTATGGGTAATTGTATCAGTGATGGGGTCATGTTTTCTTTGTTATCCCCAGAAAATATGAGTAAATTAGTAGTATTTTATTAATAAATTAAACATAAATACAATGATTTATGTACCTTTATTTTCACCAAAATCATATCAAACTGTTAGATCATTGAACCAGTTATAGATAAATGAAATATAAACTTTACAGTATCATCTTTCATTCTATTTTATTAAGCAATTATCAATTTCATAAATTTGTGAACGTGAAACTTATTTCCCATTTAAATCGCTAATGTTTCCGTATGTAGGACGGCGGGAATAAAATAAGGGAAACTGAAAGAGTTTTACGGACATACGCGACATTAAGTGCATCATTTAAAGATAAGGTCCGAATTTATGGTACTTCAGTACATCATAAATATCAATTAAACCTATGAGTAAACAAAATAGAGACAAACAAAATAAACATGAAAATCATGAACCTATTTTAAAATATGGCATGTTTGTTTGAATTAATGAAATGACAGTATTTAAATAGAGTACAGAGTAATTTGTGAAATGTCGCGGCTGGTATAAGAGGACATATAGTAAACATACGAAATGCCTAGTTGTTTTGATGCTTGTATTATGCGGAATACTTCAGAATTTATCATTAATTATACCACATATTTCTCACACGTTTATCAAGAGGCAAGGTCGCGTGTTTGTGAAAAGTTATTATTTTAAATGTAGACAATACTATATACATTTTACAGTGCAAATTATGTTACATACAAAAAGTGTTAAATATTAAATAGCACCTTCTATAACTAATACATATAAAGTGATAAAGATATTTCTTCAAATATTAATAAATTATATAAGAAAATCACTTATATTATTTTTTCAATCATTATTAACATATGTGTTTTTTTTTCGTTTAAGGTTTGGAACGCGACTTAAATAAAATTATTATCACAATTATATTCCGGTTAATATTATTTTAAATATTTGATTAAATATATAAAACAGTAAAATATACAGAATTCCATTCAAAATAATTTTCTTTAACATTCTATTCTATACTTACTTTTGTAAAGTAACAAACACTCGTAATTTAAAACAGCTTAACATTAATCAACTTTGGTTAGTGATCCTTTTTCAATTGATCATCTGCATTTTGCAATCATAGTTATATAGAGGGCATTCAACTTGTTCATGTGTCACATTGCATAAACGATGATAAAAATACCTTGTTAAATGCGTCACCAGGATTATACTGCGGCTAAGATGCATATGTAAATTGTCGCGTCTGTGTAAATAACCAATGATAAATGTTTTGTTAAACACCACTCTGTATTGCACTTCAATGTTGAATATTTAACTCACACAAGTAGTTTTGTTCAGATTTCATTTAAATTTGTCCTTTTCAGACCAAGGTGGCATTCTAAATGATAATGTTTTAATATAAAGAAGATATTTAACTAGCAACGGAAGACGAAAGATTGGTGGTTCCACATAGGTGCACGCTGATGACTGCAATACGGCAATGAAAGTACGATGGTCTTCATATGTCTTATTAGTGTCAATGTGACTTTAACTAACACATTAAATTTCATACTGGGATAGACTGTACATAGACGGTATAAAAGATTGTTTGAATTTTGTTACAAACTTGAAACAATTTATGCCGATGAGGCTTCTATAACGAGACAAAGATTTATTTAAAGGAATTGTTTGACATAAATTATACAAGATTTGTCTAGATTATTGTTCAACATAAACTGCAATAAAATGGTCTGAGACTACAAAAAAAAGAAGACAGAAAAACGAAATAAATCCGTGCGAATCGTTTTGCCTGTTGAGAATGTGTATTTTTTGTCTACCATATCTTACCAAATATACTCAAGAATCTTAAAAAATGATTTGAATCAAAAACAAAATTCATTATCAATGATGACCGAGTATGCTTCTTTTAAGTAGATGGCACCACGGTATTGGTGAAGGAAATTTTAATTTAAATGTTTAATGATAAAGTTAATTTTATCACAAAACTGCATATATTAAACGTGACACTGTAATCTTCCAATGTGGCTCACTGGTAAGTATATGAACAAAAAGACTTTTCCCACACTGCGTTTATTCTGCATTTCTCCAGATGAGGCGAAGCAGTTAAAGAAAATCAAACGAAAGAAAAAAATTATAAAATTGTAAGAAAAGTTAAATGTTTCAAGATAATTAAAGTTATAATTACCATTGTTATGTTCAATTATTGGCCAATTTAGCAGTGTATTTTTGTGTATTTTTCTACTGCATTATTAAACGCAGTAAGGGCTATTTGTGCATAATTTGATCTCTTTGTTAGTTATTTACATGGGTTGTTTGTGCCGTTTGCAATGTGTTAATTTATCTAAATGTCCACTTCAATATTTACTTATTAATACATTAAAAAAATCATGAAAATTTATAATAATCTTGATAAATCAATATTTGTCACTAGTGTTTAGAATTGACTGGATTTGTGTGGAATTTGAATAACGGTGTGATCAAAATTCCTCAAAGACGTATTGACAATACGTTTAAATGTTTAGAACAAACATATCTGGAAAATGATCCCTCGGAAGCATTAATCACAAAACACAAAAAATTACATACGAATTGCAGATGCGGTTTGATTGTGTCTGTACATGAGGAATAATAAATCAATGCAACATCCCTCACGCCCCCTACATGTACAGAAAATGGGATATCTTTAATAAAGAGGCCACTGAATAAGAAGGCAGATAGTTTAAGTCGTATTATTGATTTTGATGATTATGTTGTTTCACTTCATCTTTTCAGAAACATCAATTCTTTATATGGTCCTCGTGATGTCATGATGTTGACAGGTTTGCTAATTCTCATATTAACAAACTGCCTAGATATAATTATTTAATTTGAATGCCTGATACAGAGTCTGTTGATATTTTTTCTTTATCTTGGTTTTGTTGTAACAATTGGCTTGTACTGCCTGTTTTTCTTGATTATGTTGATGATTATGTTGTTTCACTTCATCTTTTCAGAAACATCAATTCTTTATATGGTCCTCGTGATGTCATGATGTTGACAGGTTTGCTAATTCTCATATTAACAAACTGCCTAGATATAATTATTTAATTTGAATGCCTGATACAGAGTCTGTTGATATTTTTTCTTTATCTTGGTTTTGTTGTAACAATTGGCTTGTACTGCCTGTTTTTCTTATCCCAAAAGTTCTAAACTGTAAAGCAAGGGGTACTTTAGTCGCTCCACACGGGCCGTCTAGTCGTGTTTTTTTCCAACGATAATGGGACAGAATGCATCTTTTAACGAAGTACTTGTGTTTAGTTGTGTAAGTGATATATATGTTCAAGGAAGTGATTCTGAATCTATTTTTGGTACAGATCACTTTACAAGTAAAGTCATAGTTATAATATTACACTATAATTAAGATTACAACATTGATTTGTTGCATATGTTATTTTATGTTACATGTACAAAAAGAAATATATATGTGTTATTATTCTTATTTGATCGTTATTAGTGTATTACTCTGCTAAAACTCGAAGAGGTGGTGTAAACTTGAAATCCCGTGTTTGTCAGTACATTTTCGATAGAACTGTTCACAGATGTGAAGGACACATTAATAGCTGCCAGAGAAAACACGATAATTCTGTCAAATACAACGACCTAAACATATAATGTCTGTTGTTGTTGTTGTTGTTGGAAAGTATTTGAGAATAGTAAATAATTGATTTACTCACGGTTTGGTGAGTATTAATTGATTTAGGCGGTGATATTTGTGTCTGCTTTCTATTTGTTTTTCATTATCATATTTTAGTCTATGTTTCAATACATTAATTTTGTTTGTGCTTCATTACCAATTTTAGAGTATTAACTTTAAGGTATATTACCCATTTGAGCATCAGGCAAAACGCAGTTGATTTTATGTATAAAACAAGGACTAAAATAGAGAAGCTAATGTTTTTAAGTAATTGAAGTTTTTATGTTCGCACGTATTTCAACATAAATATTGTTATGCAATCACAAAACATATATGGTATTTCCTGTATTGTGTACTTTATTCGCTTTCAAACTTTTATCAACGCTTATAGATAACAAAATAAAAGTACATATAAAAGCAAAATATTCAAATATTACATTTGTTCAATATTATTTCAAATTCAATTTCACTTGCAAACTATTTTTTTAGCAATACATTACTAACTGAATTATATTAAGCACTTTCTTGTTAATACGTTTTAACAACCTGACAGACAAGTATTTTGGCGCTCTTTCGTATTTATATACCCATTTGTTTTACACATTTTCTCTCAAATTTTATATAGCGTGATTCTTTTTTATTACCACTTCCTTCGACAAACTATTTATTTGTATAAGTTTAACATTGAATGTTACATATCCAGGTATTTAGCTCATGTTTTGATGTCTTACTGATACTATTAATTTTATCATTGATTATAAAACATTACTCAAATCATTAATGATAAAATGATATGTATATCAAAGTAAACCCCATGCGGTTTTAGTTGCAAAGGCATCACGTACGTTCGCCACCCATGCAGTAATCAAAGTGAAAAAAAGATAAATTACGATTAGAAAAACGAATAAAATGTTATTCACTTAAAAGCTAAGATCTTACGAAGATACCACTTCAAGCAAAGACTAGTTTTGACTGGTAATATTGAATTGTGAGATAATTAAACTTTAAAGGGAAACTTCCATGCATTTCATCCCGGCGGCAGATGCCTTTATCAGATTGTATTTTTAATCAGTCACGTTTTCTAAAAATCTGTGTCATTCAGACGAATGCATAATTAATGCCGCGCGACTTATATGATTAGTACGTATGCACTGAATGCTCATACTCTGTCTTGAGATGCTCTTTTCCTTTAACGTACTGTACACAGTACAACTGCAGATATTTGAATTTTAAACATCAAATTAACATTGCATTACTGCTTGCATTTATACACATGGAGATGGTCATCTAGTCTTTTGTATGCAAGACTTTTGTGCAAATATTTCTTGGGCCATAAATGGATAATCAATTTAAATACTAGCAAGTATGTATTCCTTACTCCAATATTTTAAAAGACGATGATGATTATACAAGTCATGTTAATAAGGATAGTCTCTATTGAAGTCATATTGTAGTAGCATAAATTATTATGTATATACTTAAACACCATAACAAAACGGATCCCTATTTTTACCATACAGGACAAAGCAAAAAGGATTACAATGTTTTATTATGATACTGAAAAGGAAATATATAAAGTGTATATAAATCACGTGACTAAATAAAAATGCAAGCATCTGCATGATTCAGATGAAAGAAAATAACAGAAAATACAAGAGTTAAAACATTATAAAAGGCAAGGTTTCTTCTAAAATGCATTATAAATTTTAAAACAGGATATTTGATACAATAATTACGAATTCGAACCCCGCGTTTTCCACATAAATGTTTTAATATCCCATGCCCATTATCCATTTCGCAATTTAAAAAAAAATCAATAATTATAATTTATGTCGTAATTTAAGACAATAATGGCGAGTATTTCAAAATTTCAAAAAATATTTAACCATAATACCACATGAAATACTTTGGTGATAATATGTAAATGATGTACGATATAGACGTTGATGCATGATTATCGTTATAAAAAGACATTAGAACATGCAACATGAGATCAAAGATCAACAACAATTGTGCAGTTAACAATTTTTAGAAGGCATGTTTATCGTTGTACATTGACAATAAACATTTTTATCTTGGTAGTTAAGACATACAAACAAACCTTCTCGAACGTCAGATGTCCTAATATGGTATTTATTATCTGACGACAAGAGGAACATGGTATGTTGTTAAACAAGGTGAATGTAAACGTTATTGTGAAATGTTGGATTAATTTTGAAATTTTGTTGACAAGTTTTGATTTTGTTCATATGTAAATCTGTCATAAAAAAATGATTTTTTTTGTAGTTTAATATCGTAAGGCTGTCCGCGGTTTTGCATATTTTTTTTTGTTTTTTTTTTTGTTTTCCATATTTCATCTTTACAACGCCTTAAATGATTTTAAAAACAGATATTATATTATTCGCTCTCAATTGGTGATTATTTCAATGAAATTGAGACGTTACATACAAATAAATGTACTCGATGTATTTAATTGAATGTCT